AATTGTTTAATAGTATTACCATTAAAGATTAGCAAAAGCCAAAGTGAAGGGGAGAGCCCAAGGAATAAGGAAAATTTAAAGGAGCAAATCTAATCCCAAAAACCCCTGGGGTGCTCTTCCAAAGCTTGGCTGTGCTCATGTTGTAATTTTCACTGAAGACCCATCCAGCCAAATTAGAGAGATAAGCCCATCTATGATCTAGTTCTTTTGACTCTGGATACTGTGAAATAAGCAAAAATTCAATAGCATGATCCTGCCAGTTAGAATTTAAGTCTTTTGCATTTCCTAAATTATTTGGTGTTCTTCTCTGACCATTGGAAGAAGAGAAATGCCATGAATAAATGTGAATAGTGCTTCCTACCTGCCGCTCTCAGCCCACAGTTAACAATATGCCTACTGGAGGAATGCCCCCCCAACCTAAAGACACACTCCGGAGAGAAGACACCACCCAGGAAGAGATGGGCTTTGTTTTGTCTCTCCAACTCACTGCCTTGGAATAATGGAATCATGCTCATAATTTTCTAAAGAAACTTTGAGTAGATGCCTCACAACCTTGTCAGGCACAGCCTTGGTCTCCCTGCCAGCACGTCTGCCAGCATTCCTAGTCATTGGAAATGCTGAATGCATCGTCAGCTTTCTGACCCTTTTTAATGAAGTTTCCACACATGTTAAAATCTCCACAGACATGTGTCATGTTGACATGGAGGATGACTTTGGCCAGAGCGTTTTCTCACCGCAGAATGAGGTTGGGCTGAAACAGGGTGTCCTCTGCACACTGGGCAGCAGGGACCTGGGTTGCAGCTCCAGTGTGTTCACTGCCATATCTGATGGCCACAGGCAGGCAAACCTATCTCTACCCCTGTATTGACCTGACAGTATTTTCACAAAATTTTCTTGGGTCTTCTTGTTCAGCCCCCAGGAAAATAGCAAAGCTGAGAACATGGGAATGTCACCAACATAAAATTCCACCCACCAGCCAGACCTCTTAGGGTTCTCCAGACTAAGGTGGCTTCAGATCTGTTTGGGCCCTCCAGACTAAGGTGAAGACCTGGGTGGCTCTCCATGTTCTCCTCTGATGCAGCCACTGTGGACACCACCTGCCAACCTGCTGAGTCACAGAACGGATTTGGCAGTTTTAGAAAGCTGCCTGCCAATTTATGCAATAGCTGTATCCTTGGTCTCTCAGCATTTGGTGTCTGTCCATGTTGACTCACAAAGCCAAGATCTTTCCCTTGGTCCCTTCCATAGTGGACCATCAAAGGAATGGATATGCCCCAGATTCATGGGGGTAGTCCTCTCAGTACAGGGAAGGATGGACATGATCCTGGAGGTTAAGGGATGGAACAGAGGGTGTCACGTTGATCTATGTTTTATTTCTTAAAAATAAAACAAACAAGAAAACCCGAGGCAAAAAGAATGAATGTTTGAATTTCCTCATTTTGGGTGGTTAGCATACAGATATTGGTTATACTATCCTCCGTGATTCTCTTGATTTTTTTAATTTCAATTTTAGGTAACAAAATTAATTGTTAAAATGAAAACATCAGAAGTGTCATGTATTTAGAAAATGGAGGAGCTTAAATTTCTAACAATAGGTACCCTCTCATCCACTCCCAGAGAGGATCTGGGTCCTGAAACCTAGAAGCTTCCCCAGGAGGCAGGGTGTAGCAGCTTCATAACATGCAGAGCCCCAAGGGCAGATCAGGGTTTGGCTGTGGCCACACTGTGTGGCCTCATGGGTTCACACACGCTGGGTCTTCTGGAGACTACCTCATCTGAGAATGGAAGGCACACACAAGCTGACCTGGCATTTCAGAAGCCCAGCACCCAGCTGCCTTAGTCTGCTCGAGAAATGCCGCTGCCCTTGGCCTTCTGTGCAGCCACAGCATCACAGCCACAGTTATGACAGTGCCTGTTGAGCCCAAACCAGGACATTCTACAACATCTGTGCAACTTCTCTAACTCAGGACTTCATGATAAAGTAATAACAGCCACAAAATCAGCTCAGAATTACCAAACCCAGACCATGGAAGAATAATAGCTAGGTAACTAGAGAGCCGACCTGCAGACAATCTCAGGCAATGAGTGAGTGACATCGAGTGCCAGGTCAGCCTAAGGTCCTGTGGGAGAGAGAAGCACTGCCCTACTCCTCACTGCCAGGTTCTCTGCTCTACTCCCAAGGGTCCCACATGATTCTCAATGTGATACAAGGGGATGAATGTCATGGGAGCCCCCTTGCACAGGCTGTTGTGCAGGAGTATAGTTGGGCCCTCAACATCACAAGAACAGAGAAAATTCCCCTGTCCAGAATCCAGTCATGAGGAGTGTTCACATATGCTTAGCACACCTGGGACCTCAGGTGTTCGTGACAGGACCCCAGGTTCCTATATGCAAGCTCCCATTCCTGCCTTTACATTGTCACACCAGGGATTCACAATTCTGCTGTACACCTATCAGTGATGTCAGAAGACACAGCAGAAATGGGGCTCATCATTCTTGTATAAGTAAGGCTTTTAATGTGTATCCCAATCTCAGCTGCAGTCAGGACCACACAGAGAACTCAAAATCCTGCCCAAGCCAAGCACTCGAAGCCACACAGGCCAGTTAGAACAGCTTCTGTATTCACAGGGAATAAAGGATGAATGTCTTCAACCAGCCTGTCTTTGGTATCTTACAATTTTCTTTAAGAAAGAAAAAAATAAACAGATTGTCTTTTGCATGAGGTGTGGCAGCTCTCAGTTGGGCTAACCCTGAAACAACTAATTACTGATGCACTGCCCCCTGCAGCTGCAGGCCCATGGATTCCAGCCTGCAATGTGGACTCAGCACCCCTGGCCCAGCTGGCCCCATGCTTTGCCATATCTCTCCTCTATAGCTATGAGCGCAGCAAAGGGACAAGTTTCATTCTCTGCTTCCTCTGGTGGGCCCAGATCATGTCCAGGCTGAAAGTCGGGTCCTTATCACATGGAGGAATGGTGCAACTCACCATTGTTGCGGTGAATGGGATGTTGTCAATCAAGGATGATGCAATGGCTGAAACCCAGACCACCAGGATGATGGCAGTTGTGAGGCGCTGATCCTCTGGGACCATCTGGAAAGGAGCAGATAATAGCAGTGCTATGTATCATAGCGGCACTGATAAATCACACACACTGAGGATGGTAGGACATGTGGGACTCACAGGGCTGTCAGTCCTTCCTTTCACATAGGAAAAGACCAAGGCAAACCCAGGTGTGCAAACAGAACCAGCCTGGGCTTTCCTGGCTAATACTGGGAGCCTCAGCTGGGTCTACAAGAAACTGAGGAGAGTGATTCCCAGCCACCCCCAAGCCAACCAGCCCCTGGGGAGGGGAGAATGGTAGCCCCATTCTTGGTGGCAGCACACACTGGTTACACAGATCTTATCTCCCTGCAGAGCCCTGGGGCTGTGCATTCACTTACTAACACTGGTGTCTCTATTGCTCTCCTTAGATGGTTTTAACTGAAAGCTAATAGCAAAATGGCAGGCATCTGTAATTATTTATTCTTTGGAAAAAGTCTCCCTTCATCTCTAGTCTACACAGGATAAAAAATGTTCCCTGCTGTAATTTTTACATAATTTGTGACCTATTCTTACCAGATTTTTTTTTTTTTACAAAATCAAAGTAACAGTGGCTGAAGCACATTCTATTGCAGTATTTAATGTACCTTTATTAGCAAAGCAGTCTGCTCTCCAACATATTCTATTAAGTGGAGATGTGCCAGTGCCTAGAAGAAATGGATATATGATGAGAATCAGTTTAAAACTGAGACTACATGCAATTTTTTTCAAAGAAACATGTCTTTAAAATGAAAACAAGTGAACATAAGGCTGGTCCAGGTTCTCATGTCTTATAAAGGATCAGACTCAAATACACAGTCTATAAATAATTTACTATCAGATAGGCACAGATTCACTGAAAAGAAAGCACAATACCACAGGCAGGAATTTCTCATTGATTTGTGTTACTGTCCACATTAAATTTACATTCGAATGGAATACCATCTCTTTAGGATTGGTGTATAGGAGCACTGTTCAACTGTACATAATGAAATGTCACTCCATATAGAAGGTCTTTCAAGTAAATTGCATTTCAAATTTCTTTTTATTTATTTATTTATTTATTTTATTCTTATGTTAATCCCCATACATTACATCATTAGTTTTAGATGAAGTGTTCCATGATTCATTGTTTGTGCATAACACCCAGTGCTCCAT